TTGCCAGCCACTTGAAAAGGTCACTGACTTGAAGGCAAGCACTTAGGCAAGGAAAGAATTCTATTAGGAAAGCCAGCAGTCCAAAGATGGGGGCTATCATTAGCAAAAATCTATTTTACTTAGAGCCTAAAGGTGAAAGGCTCAGATAGGAATTTTAGGGAGGTATGTCTGATAGGTGGGTACTAAGATAGTTACAAATTTAAGTGGTCTGCTTTTCCTAATGCACAAACTAATGTCCTGGCAGGGTCAATAAATGTCCTCGCTTCTTTAAATGTAAGAAAGATGTAGTTATTAGAAAGTGTTGCACCATCTGGGCGTGGTGGCACACACCTTTAATTCCAGCCCTCAGGAGGCAGAAGTAGGTGGATCTCTGTGAGTTCAAGGCTGGCCTCAAAGTTAGAGATCCATCTGCGCCTGCCTCCCAAGTGCTGGGATCAAAGTTGTGCACCATCAGATTCTAAAAGGTATCTTTAATCTGAGAACAGGGAAAGAACGGTCTGCTGGTGAAGTGGAAAGGTAACTGTCTCTAGAAAAGAGAGTGAAATGCAACTCTCCATAGAACAGTTGTAACTTGCTAGGTGGCTCCAGTCCGTGGTGACAAGTCCAGCACCCTCAGTCAGCAGGAGACTCTGTCATCTCCAAAGTTAGTGATTTTTAAAGTCAGCTAAAAGCAGCAGAGATGGAGAACTTATTTAGGTTTTTCTCCAGTTACAGTTACAGTTAGAAAGAGCATAACAGATGAAGCTCTGTCTCGTTCCTACACAGGAGAGCGAGGCCCTCATAGAGGTTAGGGGCAGAGCCAGAGCTCAACTAAGACTAAATATTACCTAAACTTTCTTTTATAAAATTTTTTTTTCAAGAACCAGAAGTAGAATGACTAACAGCTACATGCTCATCATTCAAATTCAAGAATTATTAATCTGCTCATTTTCTTAAAAAGATTTTGAAGCTGAGTCTGCTGTCATGTATATGCCTCCACAGTGCTTGCTATTCTAACCAGTGTCTCAGAGAGCATACCCCAGGCAAAGAGAAAGACAGAAATCAAAACAAAGATATAGTGTGAGAAATGCAGGCAGATTGTCGATCGACACCTACAATGTAAAAAATTTGCTCGCTTTCCTTTTCCTTTTTTTCTTTTACAGAACAGTAGTCTGGAAAACACAGATGTATTCTAAAGGGAAGCTGCTCCTTTAAGTTGCTTACTGATCCCACCCAGATCTCGCACCTTGGCCAAATGCCTGACCACTCTGGTAAACAAGAATAAGAGATTCCAAAAAAAATTCAAAAGCAAAGACAATTATTTCCCAGAGTACAGAACAATATTAAATAGCTAGCTCTATTTAGTAAGAGTCCTTGCTGTGGGCATCTGGGGCACTGTTCTCTCTTTCCTGTCTGACGGACTTCCTAAGGTAAGACAGAGCTGCTTGGTTTGAATTCCTAAACTCGGGACCATCTAGGAACTGTGCAAGGATAAGCGGCTGATGTTCTTGTCATGTGGAGGAGGCTTATTGAAAACCTTGTCCTCTGCTGTGACTAGAAACCAGTTGTTTTGAATAATAGGAACATGAATAATGGGTAAATATGTAAATTTAAAACTAAATTTAAAGGTACTTAATTTTTCATTTTGCAAATTATATTCTAAATTTACAATCTACTAAACTGTATCACGATAACGTTAATACCTTTTGGGGAACTTTTTAAAAGTTTGAAATGGATTCTACAATTCAGGATTCATTTTAGGATATTTTAGCATTTGACTAATTTAGAAATTTGAATGAAAACTATCCATTCATTTTGTCTTCATGTAGAACAAGGAAAATGCAAATACTGAGGTAAAGTTATTAAAATATACAAAAAAGTGTTTTATTTCTGAAAAATTAAAAGACAGAAAGGTTTTTTTTGGAATGTATTGACCCTGATATTGCCTTAAGAAATAAGTTTTAGGCAAAATTTCAAAATAAAGCATTTGGAAAAAGAGCTGCATTTTAAATAAAATTTAGCCATTATTAACGTAGAGATTTGTATTTCTTTCATTGAACTAACTGCATTTTCTCTCTCTTCAAATCATTTGAACATCTTTCTAAAAGATAAGAACTATTAAGAACTCAGGCAATAGGATCTGCTGAAAGTGATAAGTGGTGGGTGAGCCTTCATAGCGTCAAACTAGCAGAGTCAGGGAGTTCAGGAAGATAAAAGAATGGAAAAGCTAGAGAAAGAAAAATAAAGCCAAGAGGATACCCTGCAGACCGTACAGGAAAACAAAAAGCTTTGTGTCAGGTGCCCAGCCAAGAGCCTCAGAGGAAACCACAGCACCAAGATGTTAGGATTACTGCCATGTCTGAACAGCGTCAGTGACTATAATACACATGAGGAGTAAATTCAGTTCTCTAAGGCGAGAAAACGGCATGTTCACTTCTGTTTTCAGGGAGAATAAGGCATTATTTGAAGCCAAAGGTTCCAAAATCCTCATGTCTCTTCCGCCCAGTCTCTTAGGTCCAGAATGTCTGAGATGTTTCTCCTGGTGTGGGTGCAAGAAAGCAAACCCCTGTATAACATTAATGATTTGTTTTCCCCTCTGAAAATACAGTAGCCGCTGTGTGTGTCTACACGACTCTAGCATTACACTAAGCTTCGGAATTAAAGAAGTAGCTCTTTCACGGTCTCCTTGGAGAAAGCAGAGGAGCCATTTTTATGTTCTATTTCCTTAGCACAGTTCTAGTTCTTTGTTTTGGTTTTTGCTTCAACTCCCCACTCTCTTCATATCTTAGTATACCTGGTCTGAAGCTTGGCTGACATTTAGCCAATCGCTCTCAGAGCATGGGCCAGCACAGGTGCTTGTTCCCACGGAAGTGAAGTTCTGTTAATAAACTTCCTGCTGCCTGCTATTTAGGGAGAAACAGTGGCCTGAAGCTAGCAGCGCCTTTATCTCCAACCTAAGAGTCTTGCTTCCTCAAGACTCTTCAATAGCAGAGAGAATTATTTCCCAGAGTAGGGGGTTTAATCCATCTGCCTGTGTGAAAGAGGTCAGTCTCCCATCTCCCCAATTACTGCCTTTGCATGCATTCCCACCCTCTATTGAGAGTCTGGAAAATCCACGGCCATGAATTTCCAGTTCACATTTTCTGAAGGCAAGGTGCCAAAGGAGGAAAATGTGATTCCTTTTCCAGACCTTCTGGAGTTAATTCAGCAGAAGGAGGCAAGCACTGGAAACCATGCAGACTGTCAAGTCTAAATAAACCTTTTGTTCCTGCTCCCTTGGGTATCCTGAGCTAGCAACATATCAGTCTTCTTTTGTCAGGGAATTCTGTGGATTTAAACATCACTGTGTGTGCAGCTGGGCATATTGAACTGATACAGATGACTGAGAATTTTAATATAGAATTAGAGTTTTCATTGTTTACATAGAAAAAAGTAGTTTCACTGGGTTAAAGGGGTAGGCCTTTGACTTCAAGTCCTTTCCCATTTTTGTTTGGAAGTTGCTTTTAAGCAAATCTAGTGCGATCTGTTGTCAAATTATGTTTTATTCATTAGATATGTAGTTCCACTGTTGAACCTGATGAAGACAAACTTTCCAAAACAAGAGAAAAGAAAAAAGAGTTATGGAAAGCTGAGGAATAATTTTATTTCATTGACTTTTGGACTAATTGATGTTGTGTGTAATCATAGTAAGACTGAAAATGTAGTGGTTCTGTATCCAGGAAGAGTTGAATTTGCTAATAATGAAAATGAATGTAACAAACATACAGTCATCTGAACTCACTCTGAAGGATCTGGAAATGACAAGGCAGGTACCGGGATGGAACCATAGTCCCGAAACAGTGTGGCGCTGAGGGAGCGATCAATGGCATTCCTTATTCCTGGCTCTCCATAATACAGGAAGAAAGCAGTGCAGCTTAAATATAACTATTTTAATATAAGGGAATATTCACTAAGAAATGTTTGATCATGACTTGCTTACATTAGAAACTTTAAAAATCTCCAGATGAGCATTTTGTTTGAAGTGTGAATGTGTGAGTGTGTGTGTATATGTGTGTTTGAGTGAGTCATGGTGTGTGTGTGTGTGTATGTGTGTGTGTAAAGGTCAGAGGATAGCTTTCTGAAGTTAGTTTTCTCCTAACATTGTGTGGGTCCTGGAGAATCAAGCTGAGGTCACCATGCTTGGTGTCACGTTCCTTAACTCCTGAACCATGTCTTTGGCTCATATCACAGATTTTGACTCTACAAGCTTGAAATTGTTTATTTACAATTAATTAATTAATTAATTAATTAGTTTATTTATTCTCTCTCTCTCTCTCTCTCTCTCTCTCTCTCTCTCACCTCCACCCCCCCCACTCTTCCTCACCTGACAGGTAACTTGTATATATATTATGGCTTCCAGTTAGTGTGTTTATGGGAGTCTTGAGTGTGCAAATGCGTCTTTGTTTCTCATGCCTTCTCTTGGGCTCTTTTTTGTCTGTTTGTTCATTTTGTCCAGTTCTAATGTGTTAGTTCTTGTTTTATTATATCACATTACAATTCCTTAGAAATCTGTTAGTTTTCTTTTTTCTTTCTTTCTTTCCTTCTTTCTTTCTTTCTTTCTTTCTTTCTTTCTTTCTTTCTTTCTTTCAAGATTTATTTACTTATTTACTCTGTCACTCTCTTTAGACACACCAGAAGAGGGCACTGGATCCCATTACAGTTAATTGTATAGCTGCCATATGATTGATGGGAATTGAACTCAGGACCTCTGGAAGAGCAGTCAGTGCCTTTAACTGCTGAGCCATCTCTTCAGGCTACCTGATTGTTTTCTAATGAGAGACAGAAAGTGGATGGATCTGGATGGGAGGGGAGATGGGGAAGGACTGAGAGGAATAGAGACAGGAGAAACTGTAACCAGGAAATGAGAAAAATATTTTCAATAAAAGAAGAAAGGTAATTATTACCTTTTATGGAAGTATTTATAACTAAATTTTTCATTTCAAGGTTGTACCAGGCAGATGAATTTTTTACCATCCACCATAATGAGGAGAAGAGACGTTGCCTTCTGTCTCCTGCTTTTGCCAGCTTTTATGACTCAAGCAGTGTCTGGACAAAGAAAGAAAGGACCAAAGCCAAACACACTTACAAGGAAAAATGACTTCCAGGGTAAAAAAAAAAAGAAAAAGAAAAAGAAAGTGTTTTTTAAAAAAGTTTTAGTTTTAGCCTGTGAAATCACTAACGTAAAGTTTTAAAATAGTGTTTGCTTTAAATAGCAAATCATGTGTAGCTATACATAGGATATTCTGTTTGATAAACTTATACCACTGTAGTAATAAGCCCTATATATTTAGGTCACCTCAGAGATTCGTGCATTTATTATTTCGTTTGAGCTTCACCTGTAAATCAAAGAGCTTAAATGACATATTTAAGGCCAGAGACAAATCAGCTATTAAGAAACTGATCTAGAATTCATGTTGAACTCTATTTTTAAATTAAGTTTCTTTTCCTGTTGTTATTCCTATGATGAGTGTAGACACATTTTCTCGTTTGGTTACAAGGTACTAATATGACACAACCCAAGTGTTAGACAAACTTTTTTTGATTTACCTTTTGACACCTTTGCCTAATATTTGTTTAATTTTAAAACTATGCTGCACTTTCTTTTTTTTTATGCTTTAAGTTGTGTTCTCTTTGTGTTCTCTTTCAGACGCCATTTGCTTCATAGATGTTGTCTTTATCCTGGACAGCTCTGAAAGTTCTAAAATTGTACTCTTTGATAATCAGAAAGCCTTTGTGGACAGCTTGAGTGAAAAGCTGTTCCAGTTGACTCCTGGTCGTTCATTAAAATACAGCATCAAGTTGGCAGCCCTTCAGTTTAGCAGCTCGGTCCAGATTGATCCACCCTTGTCTTCTTGGAAGGATCTCCAGACATTTAAGCAGCGGGTCAAGTCTTTGAACTTAATTGGGCAAGGCACCTTTTCTTATTATGCCATCTCCAATGCCACAAGGCTACTGAAAAGAGAAGGGCGTAAAGATGGCGTGAAAGTGGCCTTGCTGATGACTGATGGCATCGATCATCCCAAGAGTCCAGATGTCCAAAGTATTTCTGAAGATGCTAGAACTTCAGGAATATCGTTTATCACTGTTGGACTTTCCTCTGTGGTTAATGAAGCCAAACTTCGTTTGATATCTGGGGATTCTTCCAATGAACCCGTTCTACTATTGAGCGATTCAACACTTGTAGACAAAATTCGGGAACGCCTGGTAGGTACCTAGAGGGATGGATATATATATTCAAGATTAATTTTAAAGCATACACCATACTCTACTGTTTACTTATCCTAAAGTCATGTACACTGTTGACTTACATTCATCAGGTTATCAATCTGTAGTCTGCCTTATCCTTATTTGTTTTAATTTTGTCCTTTTTTAATCTTCCATTTGCATTATATATACATTTCTTGTTATATATTCATATATTGGTTATCTAAGAATAGACACAAAACATTGGCAAAATCGGATTCTCATTGGATTCAGAACATGAATCTTTCTGGATTTTCTTTCCACTACCTTGACAATCTTTTGGGAATGTGTGAAGTTCGTTCCCGGAAATTGTATCCCTAACTTTGTCACACCCTGAGGATTTAGGAAAGATTGCTCTTAAAGCATACTCCATACTCTACTGTTTATTTAGCCTAAAATCATGGACTTACATTCATCTGGTTATCAATCTGTAGGCTGCCTTATTTGTTTTAACTTTGTCTTTTCTTATCTTCCATTTGCATGATTACCTTTGACCGTTTTACCCATTTCCATGTCATATTACTTAAAAATTCAGAGTTGCAATCTAATTATTTTTCTGTTTTTTTCTTAAATGTTATAAGCCTGTTTTTATTACTTTTCCCATTGCTTGACAAAGCAATCTAAGAAAGGAAAAAACTCATTTTGGCTAACTAATTGAGGGTAATCCTAAGTAGGATTGAGCCTACTTAGACTGGAGTCAGAGATTACTGCCCAGCCCACAGTTTCCAGATGAGTCTCATTGGGTGTAGGCATTTCACATGAAACTTAAGGTGCTAGGGCAATACCTAGCCCTGCCTATGCCATTGGTTCAAGGCATCCATACCTCTCAGCTTTCTATCACGTACAGAGGGGAATCCTGGGAAAGTGAACATTTAGTGGCTTTTCATTCCTTCCCCCTCTTCATCTCTAGTGTGGGAAGAGCTGACTCCAGAAGGCACAGAGAAGGCAGTTCCTTGTTTGGCCAGATGTTCAGGCACAGGATGTTGCTACTCCCTCTAGATATACCCTTGATGAGATTCCTGCCCAACTGAGGAGAGGAGCTCTTGGCAGTTGACTGGGGCTAGGACTGTTTATGAGGGAACAGAAAATGACCAATGAGATTCTTCTTCCTCAGCACCCCGTGACTTCAGCTTGTTTGTTCAGATGTCACTTCTCTGAATGATTTTCTCTTGACAGGGAGATACTGCTTTCCAGATGCATTCCAGGCCTATAGTACTGTTCAGCTTTTGAAAGAAAGGCACACCAGCATTCATTGCTCCTTTCTATAAAGCAGGACCTGATTCTTTACCAGATCCTTGGGAAAATTCCTCATTTAATCTATGTTCATTACATTGTTAGCTTACATTTTAATTTTATATTGAAATTCTTATGTGGTTAGGCATTTAAAATATGTAGGCATAATTGAAGAACAGAAATGCATTACTTAAAGTGCACAATTCCATGAGTTTTGACAGGTATACACAGTCGTGGAACCACCAACACAAATAGAATGTAGAAATTTCTATCGTTTATAAACGCCTACACAAACTTCTTTATGATCTCTCTCCCCATCTGACCCCAGAGCTACTGATCAGACTTTCACCTCTGGATTAGTGTACACTTCACAGCATTTTAGAGAAATAAATCCATATCATAGGTACCCATTTGTGTTTGGCTTTTTTTACTGAAGGTACTAATTTATGAATTTGGGTTATTTTGGAGAGATCAGCAGCCTACTCATTTTTATTGCAATGATCAATTTAACGAGATTTAATGGACATAACTGTCCAAAATAAGTAGATTTTTTTCAGGAAACAAAATTAATAAAGACAAATCCCTCAGCACCTTTCGTAGGTAGTATCATGTAAGAGCCTCTAAGAAGAAACATTTCAGCTCTAAATTATCAAAGAGGATGTAGTGATTCCTTCTGAAGGGAGTGTGCAGAGTACCTTACTGTTAATTTTATTGTAATTCACAAGTGAAACAGATTCAGTCTAATGTCCTAGATACATCCAGTAGTCCTTTAGAAGAATAACACAGTATACAATCAATATTTAAAAATCCAGAAGTAAAGGCTGAGACTAATTAAAATTTCTTTTTCTGGACAGTCTTAACATGAATTTAAGGTATTCTCTTTAGCACATAAAGGATTAATTTGGCACTTTCTATGTCATCTTTAGAATCATGGAATCATATGCTTTTCTTCATTAGTTGTGGTCACTTTCTATTTTTCCCAGGCTTCATTTTTTTTTTTTTTATAAAAAAGATGTTCATTTCCGTTCTGTTTCAGCTTTTGTAGCGGCAATTTTGCTCCTAAGTTAAATTGCTGAGTCTTTTGTTGTTATTATGGAGCTTGCTGGCCTTTGCTCCCACCCCATTAGTTATGATATTAATAACTTTGTCAATTCTTCCTATTTCCTCCATCACCTTTTATAGCCTTGGCCTTGTACTCATTCACAAAATTAGCCGCTCCCCTCCAGCCTTCTATTTTGACCACTATCCCGTTATACAAATCAGAATCCATTAACACAGTGTACTTCTTCTATTTTAGTGAGAACATTTCTCTATTTATTCTTCTCGCTGAAATTCAAATTTGAACAGAACTTGCAAGCCGTAACTCAAACTGAAATTTGTAGACTGCCTTTGACGACACCCTTCCCCTGTGACAGTGTGCTTCTCGGCTGCCAACCTCCTCCTCACGGATAGAGCTCCTACTTCCCAGGCAGCCAGCTCCATCCACTGGACCCTTCTGTCCTCTCTCTTGGCATATCCTTTCTCACTGCTGTCTTTGTCTTATTGCCCACACTAGTCTTTATGACTCTTTCCCCCAACAAACTTTGACATATAGAGCAGCATACCATCTGGGTGTTAGTTGGTCCCTTTCATTCCTTCCTTCAGAATCACCCAGAAAGCTCCACCTATTCCAAGAAATTATTACTGACTCCTACTCTCCTTGCTTTAGACTTCCTACACTGCTTTCAGTGTGTTGTCCCCAATTCCAACGCTTCTGACTGTAAGTGCCCTTAGGGATGAAGCTTTGTCCTTTGTTTGAAACAATCTTATCTATTATGCGTGTTGGGTCCATTTCTGTTTCTATAGAAATATAAGTTCCAGAAAATCTAGAAACAAATGAATTGCAAAAATTGTCTTTTATATTTTTAAGGTGCTAAAGAGAAATATAATGAAATAAAACTAAATTTTCAAAGGGAGTGCTGACAAAAGGCACAAATATGGCAAAAGAATAAATTTAAAAACTAGTAAAGTCAGGAGCCAACTGTGGTGGCTCATGGCTATAGTCCTAGCATGTGGGAAGTCAAGGAAAGATTCTCATGACTTTGAGGTCGCTTAGGGCTACACAATGAGTTCTAGCCAGCTTGGGCTACACAGTAAGACTTTTTCAAATAAAAAAGAAACCCACATAAAATGATAAAGCTATTTCTTATTGTAAAAGTTTTGTAACAATGTCAAAACTAAACTTTTTTTGGGTTTAGTGCTTTTCAAAATTTATAGTTTGATTTAAATTACTAGAGCTTATTATGTTGCACCCTCTGAACTATCTCAAAGTTTTTCTTTCTTTTCTTTTTCCAAGGGAAATTTTTGATGTGTGTTTTAAATATTTTTCATGTGTATGTATATGTCAAATATGCATACATTCATGTAAGAGAGTGCCCAGTTTTTTGTTTTTTGGATTTTTTTTGGAAGTACCCATGCTGGATTATTGTGAAGCCAATCACCTCACTTTAACTTTAGAACATGACTTCATTTATTGATCCAATTTTTTACTATTATGAATAGTAATGAATACTGAAATATCCAGACACCATTCAGGCAGCATAGACAGAAGGTGAGCATCTCTTCAGTTCTGTAGGTACAACCAACTATTCTTCAGAAGGACAGCAACTCTTAAGCACATCCGAGTTCTCCACTTTCTCTGTGGGCTGCTGCTTTTGAAGAAACAAGAATTCCACTTGCAGTCTGGATTTATATGTCTAGGTGTTTAAAAATTATTTGTCTGCTGAGGTACTAGCTAAGACACTTAATGTCTATAGATAACATATAGTATTAGAATTTGAAAGCTTCTGAGACTATGTGGTTAAAAATCTCCCTTCTTTCTATGTGGGAAAAATTGCCTGCAGTGACTGGTCAAAAACAGCATGCTAGTTGTAAGGAAGAAAACTCAGGGTGACCCTTAATTATCAGTCCAAATTCTCAGTCTCTGTCATTAGGGCCTCTTAGGACATTTTGCTATCTCTTCCCTCTTTTGTATTAGGATGGTTTAAAATAGAGACAGTGAAGCACGTTAAAGGCATCAGACTCCATAAAGGTCCGTGTTCTCCTTTATCTTCTGACATTCTCATTAGCTCCTCCATGTTTTATGGCAAATGGCCCCATCCCTTTCTCCTTAGTTCTTTGTGTTATCTTATATCAACTGCTCTGCTTTTTCAGACTGAAGCACAAGGCACTATTTAACTCCTTTCTTAAGAAGGTCGGGTCATCTCTTCTAGCATATATTCTTTTCTATCCACATTTATCTTCCCACAAGCTCTGTAGTACTCTTGTCAGGCAGCATCCTACTGAGCTACAGACAGCAGTGAGGCCTGTGTGGGGTAAAAAAGAGGTTGTGGCACAGAAATTATGAACGCAGCAAAGTGTTGAGAACATTCTACCTAATTCTCCTTTGAGGTGAGTCAAAGGTGTCACTAAAGATGATCAGGAGACTCAGCCCAGGTTGTGACCTCAGCTACGTCTTGTTTCCTTAATATAAAGTCAGAAGTTAAGCCTGTTCTCCTCTCTCTCTCTCTCTCTCTCTCTCTCTCTCTCTCTCTCTCTCTCTCCCCCATATTGTTCTCTGTCAGAGCAACATGCATAATTATTTTTATAATAATATTTTTTTGTTGTGGCATATATATTTTTAATATATTATATATATTTAATTCCTCCTAGGTTGCAAGTTATAAATGTAGTTTTCTTTTATGTAAATAACACATGTTGTTATAAACTATTAAAAATTATTTCACAAAATATTATTTTTAATACTGTTGCAAAGGCTGCATCTTTTTTCTCATGTTGATCTTTTATAAATAAAATATCACGTTTGGGGCTCTTGAAAGTTCATGTGGAAAATCCTTTCTCCTACTGATCACAATAATGGAATCGTGGCCTCCCATGTTTCAGATCGCCTTGAAGAATGCCATTGGGCTTTCTAATGTTCTATTTTTGAGTTTTAACATGATTTTCTAAGATGTACTAATAATTTCATAAGATAATGATTTCCAAATCAGTGTCTTAAAATGCCAAAACCCAAATGCAGACATGTATAGGGCTGGGGACAAGGAAATATGTAATTATTTATTTTCCTAAGTCTTTGTGAGCAAAAGTGAGAAGTTTCTCATTACAATCAATTAAGTTTGGAGCTAAATTATAGAGAGAATAGAGCTGATCAAAGAAACACAAGGTAAAGCACAGGCTGCAGAGACAAAGTTCCTAGGAAACACAGAGTGATGTTGAATGTTAGTGCTCCTCATGTCTCCTATTATTATATGGCTGAGAGCACTCCTTGGGTGGCTGGCTGGCCCACTTTATTGCTTTTACAAGGTTAAAAAGGCTGACTTGCTATTCTTGGAAATTGCATGTCCCATCGGGAATAATTAAGACTAATAAGAAGCTGGAAGCAGAACTATTAATTGAGTTAATGTTTCATCCTTTTTTCTCCCCCCTTTTTAGGATGTCTTATTTGAGAGGAAGGTAAGTGCCACATGCCTTATTACTATGAATTATTCTAAAAACCTGGATTAGCAAAGCAATGTTATGATTCACATAAGGTGTGACTAAATAAAAGCGTGAAATTCTTTTGAAAATGAGCTACTTTACTTTGAGGAAGCCTCGTGGTTTTATTTTTATGCCACTATGTTACTTTGAGGAAACCATGTGGTTTTGTTTTTATGCGTCTATATTTCAACTGTAGGTTAGAGGTTTTTAGAAAAGGTAGAAAGTGGTGAACACCATTGGAGAGAGATTATTTTAGAGATCCATGCAACCCAACTAACAAAATTTCTAATTTGAAATGGGTTCTTTCATTCTACGCATGGATCAGACACTCACTCGTTTGGAAGGTGCTCCTGGTTTTGGCCAGCATCAACCTAGCATCAAGTCATCTGCTGTCTGGTGGTGAGACTTGAAGCTCATTTACTTTCCTTTTCAAAGAGGACTGAACCAGATGAGAGGAAACAATCAAAGCACATTACAGAAGAAGCTAGTTAGTAGCAATCTGTTGGGAAGGACATAGTACAACAGGTGGTTATGAGCTTGCCAAGGTCTCTTGAACTAGATACTTGGTACCATGCAAAGCACAGGTGACAGGATCGCATCTGTTAAGTGTGGTCTGTAAATTTTGAAGACACACAGAGAAAACAATCACTTTGTCATGTGTGAGCCTGTTAGGCAGCTATCATACAGCTCATTCTGTTTTCAGAGATGTTAAGATAAAGAAAAATGTGCACTTTTTAATTGATATAAATAAGGTTTAAACCATATTTTTTTGGCTGAGTAGGGAGAAGTGAATATTTACATATGATTGGGCTGTGGTGTGTTATTAAGAGAATGAATAGAAACAACAGAAAAAAAATGATTATTTTTCTATTTTAACCAGTCTCTTTCTATAAATACACTGATAAATACATGGTAGAACATTTATTTTATTTAGCCATGGCAAAACTTAATAATACTTTAATAGTTGGCTCTTAGTTGCTTTTGAGTTTGCCTTGGATGATTTAAGAGAGAGACAGAAACTTCCTTCAAGGAAGTTTTAGTCAGTTACATGTTGGCTAAGTTTTGGCATGCTACCATATCCTGTATTTCACTGTGAATTAACATTGTGTTTCTTGCTGACTCAGTGTGAACACAAGATCTGTGAATGTGAGAAAGGCGACCCAGGCGACCCAGGGCCTCCTGTGAGTAGACATCTATATTCAACTTGAGGTTGACGAAGACAGTGGCACAGTTATTTTCAGAGGGGGCTTTTTAGTGTCGATTATTTATTTGCTGATTACAGCCAGAATTTCTCAGTGATGAGACAAAAACAGAAAAATCTAACGTGTCAATGGTGTTTTAGGCAATGTTTTATCTCACTGGAAACAAATGGCACCATCCTTTCTGGAAGCTTCAGCCTTCTCAGCAATCCAGTGATGCAGCACCGTGTAGCTTCATGGGGATGAACCCAGTTAGGATGCTTTGGGGATTTAGGTGAATCCTGTAAAATGGAAGCAACCGCTTAGCTACTGAAGGACAATGGTGGCACTCACCAGAATGATTCGCCTCTACTAATAGTGTCCGAAACCATCTCTACTGTGTGTTCGCTTGTCTATGTGATTCAATAATCTTGTCCTAAGAATTTGGAAGTCTGGAGAACAGGTTTCACAAAGTGTATGGACATGTTTTTGAGCTAGTGCTAGTGTTTGAAAGTTGGCAAGAATACATACTCTGAGTGTGGGGACGTGTGACATGTTTCCCCCTGAGGCTT